AACACGAAATTAATAATCATGCAATTTCCTTGGATGTATTAAAAAGTCGTAGTTTTCAACACAAAATAAAATCATTAATAGGTATATACGGTGAAATATAGAACTTTCATGATCTTCCACTAAACCATAAAACTACGTAATAGCAAAATTTTTAGAGAATCAATAATGGAAGAATTGTTGTAGTTTAGTTGATAGAAAAATGGTTGAAAAATGGTTGTTACATAACTTTTTATGTAACTTAACAAATATTTTAAATTATATACCAAAGGAGGGAATCTTGTGGTTTAGTGCAAAATATTAAAGTTTAATATTGCTTAAGCGGTCTGGACCAGGATCAATAGGGTAGACTCTGACCGGTTGCTAACCCAGAGTTGTAACTATTGAATTCCTAGTCAAGTACTTATATTACCTCCTCGTGGTGGCTGCTGGTAACTGGAATTCAACGACCGTTGGATTCTAGGCTAAAATTATAAGTGCGAAATAAAATCCAGAAGCGTCTGTCCTAAAATAGGCGGCTCTCTGGTCTGCGTCTGACCCCAGAGGGGCGGCAGCATCAATATAGAAGGAAAACTGTAAAACCCTTCAGAAGGCAATGGAAAACCACTGAAGTATTATTTCCTAGAAAAGATCACATGCAAACAACAGCACAGCCTCGGACACCCCCAGTCTCCGGTAGGGGGGTGTTACAAATACCCGGAGGAAAAACAAAAAATAGATTAAAAATCAGTACCTGGAACGTAAATAGTTTGTATGAACAAGGTAAATTTGCGAACACAATTCACGAAATGCAAAGATTAAAAATAGATATTATGGGAATTTGCGAAACATGGTGGCCAAACAATGGTGAATGTTCAGCACAGGGCACAAAATTTTACTACTCTGGCAATAATTCTACTAGTCATCGGAATGGTGTAGGTATAATAGTCACAGAACATCTTGCTAAGTTTGTAACAAACTTTATACCACTCTCAGACAGAGCAATGCTTTTAAAAATTAACGCCAAACCTGTAGAAGTAAATATAATCCAAATATACTCACCGACAGCAGAAAAAGATGATGATGAGATTGAAAGGTTTTACTGTGAAATGGAAAGTCTACTAAAGCTAACAAAACCTCATGAAATGACTATCATAATGGGAGACTTCAACGCCAAGATTGGTACCGGAAGAGTCAATGATATAGTTGGTCCATTTGGCTTAGGAACAAGAAATAATAGAGGTAACCGTCTTGTAGAATTCTGTCAAGAATATAAGTTTAAAGTGACAAACACGTGGTTTTGTTTACCGCCTAGAAGACTTTATACCTGGAAATCGCCGCTAGATAATGCTGGAAATATTGCGCGAAATCAGATCGATTTTATCTTAATAAACAAAAGATTTGCTACTTCTGTAATGAAGGTTTCAACGTATCCAGGGGCTGACGTTCCATCGGATCACAACTTATTACAGGCTAATATTAAAATCAAATTAGCAAGGGTAATAAGAAATGGTCGTCAGCCTAAATTGGATGTAGACAAATTGAAAAATGATGAAATCAAAGCTAGAATTTCTACAGAAATTAACAACCGACTGAATCTAATTGTAAACGATAATATTGAAAATATCGACAGATATTGGAATAATGTAAAAACAATGCTACATGACACATCTAAGAACATTCTTGGAACAAAGAAATTTATTCCAAAACAAAGATGGATGACGGCAGCAATTTTATCACTAATGGATGAAAGAAGGAAACACAAAAATAAAAATATTTCAAAATATCGTCGATTACAGAAAGAAATTAGAAAGGAATGTCGGAGGGCAAAAGCAGATTGGCTAAAGAATGAATGCGAACAAATCGAAGAAATACAACGTACACACAATGATTTCAGCCTTCACAGAAAAATAAAGGAAATCTCAGGACATTATCGTAAATCAAATCCATCTATTTTGGTAAATCATAGAAACCAAATAATTGTTGACGCTGAAGAAAGAAAAGATTTCTGGGCAAAATATATCGAAGAAATATTCTCAGATAACAATAGATTTGGTATTTCTGATAACAACCATGGAGGTAGGCAACTTACGGGACCGTCTATAACACGAGATGAGATTCGTAAAGCTATCCAATTATCTAAAAATAACAAAGCTGCTGGACCAGATGATTTGCCGGTTGAAATATTAAAACTTATAAATGAGGATAAATTGGTGATTTTGGAAAAATTATTTAACCATATTTACGATAGTGGACAATTTCCGACAGATTGGCTAAAATCCACCTTCATACCGTTACCAAAAAAGAAAAATGCCAAAACATGCAATGAACATCGTTTAATAAGCCTGATGAGTCACGCCTTAAAAATATTTTTGAAAATACTGCATAATCGAATCTATAAGAAATGTGAAAAAAATATGGGTATGACCCAGTTTGGATTCAAAGATGGAACAGGAACGCGAGAAGCACTATTTAGTATTCAAGTTTTGGTACAAAATTGTCGCGATGTTAGGAAAGATGTATTTTTATGTTTCATCGATTATGAAAAGGCGTTTGACAATGTCAATCACAACAAAATGATGGAAATATTAGCTGATATGTTCATTGATGAGAAAGACATGCGCTGCATACAAAATCTATACTGGCATCAAAATGCGCATGTTAGAACAAAAGATGGCATCACAAAAGTAGTGGAAATAAAAAAAGGAGTTCGACAGGGTTGCATACTATCACCGCTTCTATTTAACATCTATGCCGAAGCGATTTTTCAAGAAGCAATCGAAACAATGCCAAAAGGGATAAAAGTTAATGGCAAATACATCAACAACATTCGATATGCAGACGACACAACCCTAATTGCCGACAATATGAATGATCTTCAATTCTTAGTTGATCAAGTAAATCAACATAGCAAAGAATACGGTCTTCACATAAATGTAACAAAAACAAAATTTATGATTGTAAGTAGAGATAAAACCCCATTTCTAAATGCCAAAATCCTAATAAACAATGCACCGATAGAACGAGTCAACAGTTTTAAATACCTTGGTTGCTGGCTTACAGAAGAATGGAGCTATGAAAAAGAAATTAGGTGTAGAATAGAAATGGCACGTAACTCTTTCTGCAAATACAATAAAATCTTTACTAGCAGAGATATAAACATAAATTTGAGACTGCGGTTTCTGAAATGCTATGTTTGGTCAGTTCTACTCTACGGTATGGAATGTTGGACCTTAGGGGTTCCGTTAATGAACAAATTGGAAGCCTTTGAAATGTGGACATACAGGAAAATGCTCCGAATATCATGGACAGAACACGTTTCAAATTATGAAGTCCTTCAAAGAGCACAAACAAAAAGGGAACTACTGAGGACCGTAAAGCAAAGAAAAACTTCGTATTTCGGACATTTTATGCGCGGAGAAAAATATCAGCTTCTTCAACTTATTATTCAAGGCAAAATTGAAGGCAGAAGAAGCGTTGGCCGGAAGCAAATGTCCTGGTTACGCAACATACGGAACTGGACTGGTATCCGAAACATTGGCGATTTGATGCGCACTGTGGAAAATCGAGAAGAGTTTAAAGAAATTGTTTCGCAAATTACTTAAGCATCCAAAGTAATAGTAACAACAGCAATAGTAACAGCAACAATTAACTACAAACATGTGATTCGCTTACATCCACCTCATGGATATGCAGACAAGAGAGAGAGAGAATATTGCTTAAGTTGTTTAACACTCGAATACTGCTATTCAAAACTACTTAAATTATTACGAATGAATAAACTAGTAAACTCTTCTTTTTCAGTGCAGTAGTATTTTACTAGTTTGTAATATTTATTAAATATTACAAACTAGCTTTTGATAGTGTAGATAGAATTAAATTAGAAATAGCACTGAAAAGACAAGGAATACCGCAAAAACTTATAAATTTAATGATAATGACAATAAAAAATTCAAAAGCCAAAATAGTTTTACAAGGACAAACCTCGGGTGCATTTGAAATTAAAACTGGTGTGAGACAGGGAGATGCACTATCTGCACTAATGTTTAATCTTCTTCTACAACATGCTTTAGGAAAATTTTATACTGATGGTAACATTTTTTCAAGAACGTCACAAATAATGGCATATGCAGATGATGTTGTTATAATTGGGAGAAGTGTCAGGGCCATGTGTGAAGCGTTCGTAAAAATCGAAAATGAAACATCAAAAATCGGTTTAAAAATAAATGAGGCAAAAACAAAATACCTAGAAATGTCTAGAACACCGAGAAGGCGACAATTACAAAATATGACAATTGGTCAATACAATTTCGAACGTGTAACAAGTTTTAGCTACCTTGGGGCTGTAGTTCGCAATGACAATAGCATGCACTATACCGTAAATGATAGAATACAAGCGGGCAACAGGAGCTATCACGCCAACAAGAAACTCATACAATCGAATCTACTGTCCAGACGAACCAAGCTAATTATATATAAAACAATTATACGTCCAGTTGTGACATATAGTAGTGAGACATGGTCAATGACAAATGGTAATATGCTAGCCCTGCGAGTATTTGAGCGAAAAATATTAAGAAAAATTTTCAAAGCAAGAAGATTGGATAATGATGAATATGAAAGACGAAGCAATAGTGAATTAGAGCAGTTAATAGGGGGAGAAGATATCGTTAGATTTATAAAATCACAAATGATGATGAATATTTATTAAATGCGCCTCTACAACCAAAACCCAATTTTCGCTTATTGAAATTATGATTACAAAAAAATTAAATGTGTCTAATACCTAACTACAAAAGTCAATATCTTATTGAATTTATTTTCCGACGGAATGAGCGTTTAATATGTTTTTCAGAGCTTTGAAGATTTAAGACTTTAAAAAATATTTTATTACCAGTGAACTAAATACAATCAAACATATGCTTTTTGAGCAAAATTTATATTTCATATCAGCTTAAAAATTGTCTTTGAGAATTGCAAAACTTATTTAATTTTTTTTTAATATAAGAAAAAAAGGTTTTAAATTACAAACTTACACGAGTTTGCCTGCCCAATTTCTTGTTTACTTGAATTCCTACTCCAAATTTCTGCCCAGAATATCGTGAAGTTTGCTTAATTAAAGCGCAATATAATTCAGACTGAAGCTCTGGTATATCCAAACATTGCTGAAGTGCATTTTGTGCCAAAACTACGTGGTAATCTATACCGGGTTGGTTAACAGCAACTGACATGAATAATTGACAACTCTAAAAAAGTGTTTCATATCAAGGAATCGATGCATATTAATTAAGCTAATATCTTACTTTGAAAAGTTTAACAGCTTCAGCTTGCAAATTTTCTGAATTTAGTGAAGACAGTGGCGAAACAATTGGATCTTTAGAATATAACAATGTAGGATGCCTCCATAGCACACAATCTTTAAATGGTTTACGTTATTTACATATTATAGATAATGTCAAACTGAAAATGTACTGCATAATTATCATTATCTTACTTGGATTACCATCAGTTTCCATCAATTTTTGTATTAGTTGCTCATATTGGGTACCTGCAGTCGACCCTGCACCCGATACCACAGTTAAATGATATAACCAATTATCTCGGTCCTGTTTGCTGTTTAATATTAAATATGTCGGCCCTGTGTTAGCGGGATAAATGGCAACAGTTAACTGAGCCTGGTTAGAATCAGCGTCATCTCGTTCTTCAGAATCTGAATCAGAAACATGCTCAACTTCTTCGACTCGTGCGTCTCTCATATTAATTTGCCCAAGGGGATTCTAAAATATACAAAATTTGTATTAATTGATTAGTCAATTATAAATAAAATAAGTGTTTTAACCGATCTGTTTAGTTAAACTATATAATACAGATTAACTTTTTGGTCCATAAATGACCCATGTGTCAAATTCAAATATTTAATGAAAACAAAAAAAAAAGGTAGCAAAATATAAATGTTAAGTTATTTAGCAAAATACAAATGCTAAGTTATTTTAAATACAGTTACTTCAATTTAAGAAAACAAAAATTAATAACAAAAAACACAATGGACCATTTTCTAATCATACCAGTACAAAACAATGTTTGAAGGATAATTTACATTTATCAGCCTGTTCGTTACCCTAAAATATAGAAGTTTGGCGTATATATTCTTGGTTAACGTCAAATTGCCATTCGGTTTCGTTTTATGGTCAATATAACACATTACGCAAAAAAGAGGGCAGTTAACAGTAAAAATTTTCCGCAAAAAAAGATTAACCTTACAAGTCAGAAAAAGAAAAAAAAAATGCTAAGTTGTTCCTTCTAAACTTGAGTTAAATATTTAAATTATACTTTCTGTTGATCTTTTGTTTTCTGGTACGTGAGTTATCTCTAATGTAAGCTATTTGTTGTTCGACTTTTCCCGCGAAAGTGATATATCCTCTTCCAATATAACCTAAAATTCAATAATTCATATATCCCATTTCAATATAGTTCAAATAATACTTTTGGTTTTAATTCTCCCAAAATAAAAATAGAATCTAGTATTAACAAAAATATTTTTTTTTGTTACCAGGAGAAAGGAGCAAAAATCTCGAAAGACACTGCCAGATGAAAAGCAGTAGTGTAGAACTTTAATCCACTAAAAAACACCCTCCTCAAAATAAATTATAAAACTAGTCAGAAACGACTAACCATTAATTTTGGTCCTACTTTTTTGATCATTTACCAGTTTTCGATCTAACATAATAGCGTATTTAGTACTCATTGTTCCAGATAAAAAACATTAAATTCCGTAATTCACTCAACATGGAAAATTTTCCAATTTGGATCCTCACAGCAAATTACCTATAGCAGAACCAACAATAAAAGATAAAAAATTGATTGCCTGATAGATACTGGTGCAGCCACGTCAATTATAAATCGGCAATGTCTACGAATTTTGAAATGTCTTTTATTGATTCACTCCACTAAAACGGCTTTCAGCAAATCTCTTCTGGTCTCAATCTCTGGCTGGTATAATATGTCCTGACCCGTTGGTTAGTAATGACGTCTTTCATAGCCCCCTTTCTTTTTCTTATAGCATACACAGTCAACCTTATATAGACTAGCCTCATTCCTATCGTTTTGACTTAAGGAGAGCTAATTTTCCTTTCCGAAAAGATCTTTTGTAATCCCAAGGTTTTTTAAAATATCATTCATTCTAGAAGGAAGTATGATACTCGTAGTTACTCGACTTTTTTCAATTTTAATGACACATCTAGAAATGATTCAGGTAAAGTATGTAATTTTTTCTGAGCATACATTGCTGATTTATATGCTTCTTCGTCTTTCGTGGTAAATCCCGACAATTTTCAACACTTCAGTACCTATCCTAGGACTACGTTTTCGGGTTATAGTATTGACTCAAGTATTGTTAAAACATACTTGGATTACCATTGATATTCATTATTTCTATTTATAATGTGGTTTCGAAGTTGGGAGGTAGTGGGTCCTTATTTATGCTGATGATAATTTTTAGAAGGATTTCTTCATTAGCTGATTTCCAAGTACTTCAGAATGACTTAAATAACTTCTATGAATGGTGCTCCTTCAAAAATTTAATGTTAAACGTAAGCAAATGTGTTGTAAGAAGTTACGCACGCCGGAGGCGCCCCTTTATAGCAAATTATTCTTTAACGGTGATGGTCTGAGAAGCCTTTTTGCTGTTAAGGAGCTGGGCCACTACAATTATATTTTCGATCCACTACAATTATATTGTGGGTAAAGCAAGTTCCTTGCTGGGTTCCATTAAGCGTTCGCAGTAGGTATTGGGTGTCTTTGTGCTGAGAAAAAATCAGCCCATATCGCACGCCCCACTTTCACTTTCTTATTTCCTGGTATAGGTAGATGACCTGTTAAAGTGTGTCATGACCTGTATAACGGGTCGTTTATTTCCTGGTATAGTTAGATGACCTGTTTAAGTGTGTCATGACCCATGTACATATGAATGTAGGTAGCTGAGGTGGCCGCCAGGTCAATGAACTACAAAGTAGGTCAAAGGTTGCAAAGCAAGTGGTTTACTTATCCGAGTTCAGTGCACTTGAGACTTTGCATGATTTGCTTACATGTGAGTTTCCTTTGCCGGAGTTGTCCAGCAGATAAGGAAATTTAAATTAAATATTTTAAAAATAGTATTAGGTACTCAGAAATATTAGAAAGTACGTATTTTTAATTTCAAAAAAAGTCTAGTTGTTAATACATTACGCATTTGTATTTTTCTTAAAGTAGAATGTTCTATAGAACGCATATACCTATAAATTACAAAACACATTTTTTTTTCACTTTTTCTTTAATATAATTATATATAGTACATATTTGTTCTTGGAATCTTTCTTTAAATATTTTTTTTCGATGACTACAGGTTAGAATTGCAGATATCACTCGTCCAAGTATTTGTATACGTCTTTGAAACCGGTTCCTATCTCGTGCAAGTTTTTCGTATATTCCTTTTCGAGCAATTCTGTAAGCAAAATCCCATGCATACATATAATGAATTTTTAATTTCAAGTTAAAGTGAACTTTTGTTTTCATATTTTTATTATGTAGTTAATTCAGTATTTTTTCCTTTATCAAATGTATGTAAATGTTTATTACGTTTTTTACAGCACATCTTAATTTTTTAATTCTATTATGTGCAGCAATAGGGCATAAAGATTTATAGTTTTCAATTTGTAATAATGAAGGCATACTTTCAGTTAAATCCTCTATTTTGGAGTTGTCAATGAACTGTTGTAAGAATACCTTTTTCTTGAATGCCCTTTACATAAATCTTTTCAGCTGATTGTAAAATTTGCTTAATAATATGTGGTACTTGTGAATATTCTATATTTCCGCTATTCCATTTTAATCCATTTGTTTTATCTTCACAATATTGAACATTATATTTTGATTTTTGGGTAAGTTCGTGTTCAGAGTATGGAGATATAAAATAATACACCATGGGGATCATGCTTCCTTTTTCAAGTAAAGCTAATTCTTTTACAAAATAGTGTTTTTCATTTCCTTGTACAAATTGAAGGTCGACAATAAAAATCTGTCCGCTCATATTGAAAACAAGTGCTTGTCCTCAATGAAAGTTTAAATGAAAATAAAAGTACTGAAGAGGTTACTAGCTTTATATAATATTTTGACCAATTGACATGTTATATGTTATAAATATATGTAGGTTACAAAATCAATTTTTATTTTCATTATGTTTTTTCACCCATTTACAATGATGGTGGCCGGTCCATCGTGCTGTGGGAAAACCACTTTTATACATAATCTCTTAAAAAATAATAAAGACAATATAAAACCTTGTGTTGAAAAAATAATTTGGTGTAATCCTGATAAAAAATGTTGTTCCCAAAAACATAGAACGGCTTGAGCATTATGTTACTGTTCCAGACATAAATGATAATCATGAACCTATATTAATAGTATTAGATGATATGATGTTAAGTACACAGGACAAACGAATATGTGAGTTATTTACTAGAGGTTCACATCACAGAAATTTGTCTGTAATTTTTATAACACAAAATCTATTTCATAAAGGAAAATTTTCAAGAGATATTTCATTAAATTGTAAATATTTAGTACTTTTCAAAAACCCTAGAGACAAATCACAAATATTACCTTTGGCCAGACAAATATGTTCGAATCAGGTTAAAGAATTCGAAAAAGTATATAATGAGGTAACATCACAACCATATGGATATATATTATTAGATCTAACTCAAGAAGTCAACGATCTTTTTGGATTAAGAAGTGATTTGTTTGGTCCAAATTCATGTTTTTGTACAAAAGATCAGTTAGAGCAATTAGCACAAGAATATGAGACGTTTTAAAACCAATCGACATATATTGCACCTATTAAAAAATTCTAAACCAAGGTTTCAAAAAATAATAATTAAGCATTGTGAACCAGAAGTAATAAAAACATTTTGTGAAATAGCTTTGAATATATTAAAAGGAAATTGCAATCTTAATAAAAAAATAACGAATCAACTAAGGAAGTATAAAAAAGAGTCACGGGCGTTAACCTCCAATAAAAAATCTATAAATAATAAACGAAAAATAATTATTCAAAAAGGGGGATTTTTACCAAGCCTTCTCGGAGCCATATTGTCTGGAATAAAAGGACGCTTCTTAAAATGAATAGCGCAATGTTTAATAAAATGGTAATAATAAAACCTGAAATTTATGAAAAACTAAAACAAAATTCTGATGTCGAGCTAAATGAGTTAAATAAAAAGATGAAAAATATTCTACTGAATAAAAATTTGACTGATATCCAAAAGTGGTATTTATATCGTCAAAACCTGTTTAAAATAAGGAACAAACGAGAACTGTTCCCCAAAACATTACAGCACAGTCGTACGAGCCCAAACTTACGTAAACAAAGAGTACTCAAACTCGTCTAAAAGCTGCTTTTAAAAACACAGACACCCAAACGAATTTTGTGGAATTTAAGGATGCTAAAATACAGTTCCCCAAGGAGGAAATATTCGAAAAAGACCCAGACGATGTATTTGATAATGAATTGCATGAAAATGTTTTTACGACAGCGCTTTCTGCTGCATCAGCTGGTGAACGTCTTAGAAAACGTAAGTCTATCAGAAATCAAAATTTTCAGATGTATGAAACAGAAAATGGTGATATTATAACAGTTCCTTTAGACAGTCCTAGTCCCCCTCCGAAAAAAGAAAACTTAAGGAATTCTCAAAGACGTATTTTACGATCTGCTAAAACAGGTGACACACAAACACAGCTTGATTTTCCCATACGTAAAAGTAAATCGACAAGCACATGGACAACTTACAGGTAAATGATGAATTTTATGTAACTTTACTAAGTGACTCGTCCATTAACTACTATCCTGAAAACACATTGGCAGCTTTTACTAATAAATTGAATAAACAATTTGCCCTTGATGAAAAATGGTTGGAATTTCACAAGTGTATGTAAATGATTATGTATCATCAATTTACGGAGAAAACGACGAAAAAAGAATTGCAATTACGATTGGAAGTACAGAAAAAAAATATGAAAACATAGATACAACTTATATTCCATATAGGAAAGAACAAATCAATTGTGATTGCAAAACTTTTGTTTTATCTACACTCATACAAAATATAGAACCTATACTTTTTTGAAATGTAATACAATTTTTGTAGGAATATTACAACTGGAAAAATTTATTTGTTTACCATATTTAGAACCGGATGCAGGATATACAAAAAAGGAATGTGAGCGTCAACTTATATGGCAAATTTTTGATTATATTTCAAGAAACTCAAGTTACATAAAATCTGGAGAACCAACTGAATACACTGGTGAAGTGGTTAAAATATGTGTCAGCGATTCAGAAGTTGACATAAAAATAGGTGTAAAAACCAATTGGTCAATTGATGTTTTTATCAAAGAATGTTTTAATCAAATTTTAATAAAATATCCCGATTTTAAAAAATATAAAGACAGAATTGTGCAATTGTACAAGTCTTATTTAGAAACCTTATATTTTATACCAGTAAATAAATCAGATATTATGTTTGTATACAGTGACATTATAGAACCACAAATTGTCGGTGACAATACTTTGAGGTGTTTACGAACAATAATAATAAAGAATACATAAGAAAATAATTTTTTTGAATTTAAAAATATTCATTATTTTCCAGTTGAAAATAAATTTTTTGATAATATTTCTATTATGTTATGTGATAAATATGGTAAACAAATAAATTTTTCCAATGGTAATATTCCTACAAAAATTGTATTACATTTCAAAAAAGTATAAATAAAAGGTATTAAGCAAAAATTATATTACTTTTCTGTTATATTATGGAACGATTGTATTATACGTATTATTTAGTTCAATCTGGTAAAGGGCTTGATGATATCGGCCCCTTACTTCACTCTGCCCTTGCCTATCAAAGAGGTCGAGGATTGGGAAGTTTTTTTGGGGGGCTTTTTAAATATTTGAAACCTTTGTTTGTCTCCGGAGCTAATATATTGAAAAATGAAGCAATTAATTCCAGTATGAATGCTCTATCTGATATTGCAACTGGAGCAAATATAAGAGAAGTAGTTCAGGATCGGGGCAAAGAAATTTTAAAAAATGTGAGAAGTGGAGCAGTTCGTAAATTAAACGAAATGTATGGACCTGGAAAAAGAAAAAGAAAAACTATAAAAAGCGACGAAAAGTTAATAGCAAAAGAAAAAAAGTTGATATTTTTGATTAATTATGATTGAATGTATGAAATCAGAATTGGATATTTTTAGAACAAAGCCAATTCAATCTAGTATTTTAAGATCTGAAGAAGTTTCATACAATCCTATTGCTTCTTTAGATAATCCATCAACTATTGAATTTGTCTCATTAGGTCATGGTGATACATACAGAGATTTATCTTCTACATATCTTAGATTAAAGGTACAAATTGTTAAAAAAGATGGAAACCATTGGAATAACGACAAAGGTGCCGACGGAAAAACATTGCCCCAACCAAGTGTAGTGAATAATCTTCTACACTCAATAATAAAACAGTGTAATGTTCAATTTAACGGAAAAAGTATTACCCCGTCAGATGGAAATTATCATTACAGAGCATACATTGAATCATTATTAAATTATGGTACGGATGCCGCTACTACTCATTTAGAGTGTGCTGGATGGTGTTTAGATAAACCAAACATAGCAAAACCAGATAATAATGTATCAAAAGAACGTCAAAAACTTTATCACAACAGCAATATTGTAGAGCTAATGGGTAAACTACATTTAGATATGTTTAACCAACCGACTCTTTTAATAAACAACGTTGATGTGAGAATTACTTTAACACTTGAAATATCAGATTTTTATATTATTTATGAAGCACGTAACAATTAACCCAAGTGTGCTACTAGTCCATAATGCTGTTCTAGAAAAATCTAATGCCAAGTACAATTACAAGCGTGTTGAAATAAAAAGTTTTACAATTCCTTCTAATACATCAACTATTTCACTTGATAATGTCTTCATTGGGCAATTACCCAACACCATAATTTTTTGCCTTACAGAAAATGTTGGCTACTCTGGAAAAAGATCAAAAAATCCATATAATTTTCGACATTTTGATATGTCCCAATTTGTATTGTATGTAAATGGTGTACAAGTACCAAACACAGCAATTGAAACAAGTTTTTCAGATGAAAATAATTGTCATACTCGTGCATACCATACACTTTTTTCTGGTACAGGAATTTATCATAATGACAAAGGACATCAAATATCAAAATCTATGTTTAGTAGTGGATTTTTCATCTTTGCTTTCGATTTGACACCAGATGCATCAGGAAATGAGATATGTCAGGGTCTATTTAATCAAGGTACAATTAGAATTGAGGCAAGGTTATCTAAAGCGGAATCATCTGTATTGACTGCTATTGTCTATGGAGAATCTGATGCAAGTGTTGAAATTGACAAAAATAGAAATATTTTCACAAACCTATAAATAGAACATTTGTATAAATGGTTTTAATATTCAAGATGATGTCATCGTCTTATGCACTTGTTGATATAACGTTTTTTTCTGACGAAGGCAAGGAGTTTTTTAATTCAAAATTCCAAAATTATATGAAAGAAAAAGCAATTAATCATTATCACACAAAGTTAGAAAGAAAAATGAACAATATTTTTTAAGAAATATCTATATAGA